ATTCTGTCATTAGTGTTCTCTTCTATCTCACTGGTGTCTTTATTTACTTAATCGATTTTTTATTATAGCTTTGCCTTTAGAGTAACTACATACTTCAACGTTATTGTTGTGATCTCTTTGTACATCATAATTTGTTTCATCAGTCTTTCCTTCAACGAGATTTAAATGTGGTTTTAAATCTTCCTTACATAGTATGTCTTTTTCTTGTAACTCCTCTTTTAAATTCCTTTCTCTTACCTCTTAATGCTCTTTTAATTTTCTGTAAACTTCTTGGTCTTCTTGTCACCTTCAAACTTTTTTTTTTATCTTACCTTGATAATTTCCCCATGTCAAGTAATACTTGGATCTCACTACTTGACTCCGTTATAACTGCATTCAACAGTTGAAGTTTAGTCGAAGTTGTATTTTAGTTTCACCAAATAATCCCACTTCTGACACCAATGTAGTAGCATACTTCTCTCTTTGTGGGTTCTTTTAAATTATCTAGTGAAAACAATTCAACATATAACCCACGAAATGATAATAAATTACTTTACTTCCTCCTTTTGCATTTTATTAAGCTTGGAGACTTGTATATTGGCATAAGTTGCTGTAGGCTTACATTACAAATGACGTCAAGTAACCTAAAACATAACAACTATATTTTCCGGAAATAAATACGACAACTAATACACTAACTGATTCATTCTACTATCTTGAAAAAACTTTATATCTTCAAATAACTCTACACTTTCTTAACAATATCTTGGACCATCTTTCAATTCACTCTCTAACTGACCTAACAATGCCTCACAGAATGTGGAATAAGTATATTAGCTTGAATGTGCTAGAAAACCTCACAACACATCCTTAGGTTTTCAGATGTTTTGGGTTTATCTTATAATAATATAAGGTGGTTATCTTATGATCTTAATGTCATCATTAAACTGCAGTTTCTTCTGGCATACATTTAAATTACAACATGAAAATTACAGCTTACAATAACTGCATAAAATAACTAAACAACCTCCATCATATAGTATTAAGCAATATATTTTATGGGTTAGTTTATTTTTTTTTATTTGATACACATGTGATAAGCAGGCATACCATGTGTTTCCTACTCCCTTATTTGATATAGGATTTTTAAAAATTTTCATTTATGCAGATGTATATGTAGTTTAATGTAGAATGTTGGTGAAGGAAGTAGCCAAGTTGTTTTTTCCTGAATTACCTATCGTTCTGAATTATTCAACTAAGGTTTCATTTGTGTCTTCAGATAGGAAATATTTCTGTAAAGTTGTAGATATTATATAAAAGAAGACACCGATCTTTTCTATTGGCAACTCAGGTAACCCCTTCAAGACAATAACTTCCCTTATCTTTTGATGGGAATGATCAACAGTGGTAGTACCTATGTTCTGAGAAAAATACCATTATTGTTTTGTTTCTATGATGCCATATGTTTTCTCTCTGGAACAACTTTTTAACACAAATGTCATAATGATTCAGACAGCTCTATTCAGTAAAGGTTTCATCCTTTGTGAATAACTTGTATTAACTGTTTTTGTAGTTTGAATAAAAATTGTTTCCTTATGTGATACATTGTGTCCAGTCTCTTTTATTTTTTCAAACAGAGTTAAAGTCTGAGAAATCAGACTTAATCCATGTTACATTTCCTGTTGGATCTATTATTCTTTGGAACCTATTTGATCATTGTTAGAGGAAATCAATCACTTGAAAATACCACATATACACTAAGCTTAGAAGCAAACATACAGTATATTATAAGTTAGTTTCAATGAATTTAATTAGTGCTGACTAGCACTTATTTCTTTTTATTATGGCAGAAATATTTCTATTATGAATTTTATATTAGAAAACTTCTACTAGTTTCAAAATTTGAGAAGTTTTGCAATTTGAAGTTATAAATTACACTGGTTAAAATCTGTGAATTATGGTAATGTTAATTTGAAATATTGACTTATTTTTTATTTTGATTAAAATAAAGATTCATTCATCCATAAATAATTTAATGTTAGTATCTATTAGTGAACCTAGACTATATCATAACCAGCTGAGGTACCTGTCCTTTGTCCAGGTTATGAACATAAAAAAAAATGTTTGGGTGGATGCTAAGATTAATAACACAAAAATCCTAACGTTCACACAGTTTATTTATAACATAATATATTATTACAGTATTCATTATTACCCCACCAAAA